CCCCAAAACCCCAAAACCCCAAAACCCCAAAACCCCAAAACCCCAAAACCCCTCCTCAAATTTCTTGCATTGAATTTTTAAATAATAAAATATTTGAACTAATGAAGAGTGAAGAGCATGCAAAAGATAAGAGAGTTAAGCATAACCAAGTTAAACTCGGTCCAAGTTTCTTTAAAAAGAAATCTTTCATAAACAAGAACAGTCAAAAGAGGTAAGTTTTCCCTCTGTTCCTCCCCTCTGCATCAATATAACTAAACCAAACCAATTTCAGAATGAATAACCCACTCTAGCTTATCAAGCCAAGGAAATGACTTCGAGAGCAACTTTGAAAATAACAGGAATGAAAGGCAGACTAAAGATCGGCTGAAAAAAAGTAATTCACAGGGATTCACACAGAATATAATTATATGGTCATAAGGCATTTATTCAAAATTTCTTCTGTATCCCCCAAATTCCTTATAACCCAGCATAGTGTTCTTTTCCCTGCTGGTTGTCCATCACAGGCTAGCTTGCTAAGTTACATCTGATATAGATAGGAATAATAGACTAGACTCTATACAAGAAAAATAAGCTGGAATATGATATACAAGAAGAAGAGGTTGATCTTAGAGTCAGAATATACATACTCTTTTTACTCATGAACGTCTTCTTGAACTATGATACAGGAGTTATACCAGGAGCTTTAGTACAGATCTCTGATGAACTCTCGTTTAATAGTGAGCAGATGGCATACTTGGGGTCATTTGTGTATCTGGGGCTGTGAGCTGCAACATTTTTAGGTCATTATGTCTTTCATACTTACCAAGCAAAATGGGTTATATCAATAATGGTGTTTCTTAATGCAATCTGATGATTTATATTCGCCTATAGCACAAATATGTTAATGCTTTATTCTTGTAGGTTCTTGATTGGATTCACCCAAGCATTCGTAGTCATTTATGCCCCAGTGTGGATAAATGAATTTTCTCCTTCTGAAGCAAATACAAGATGGATGGCAGGACTCCATTCAGGTGTTGTAGTAGGTATCCTCTCTGGATATATCTTTGCACAAGTTGTGATTAACTACTTCAGTCATTATGCGACTTGGAGACTTGCGATCTACTTCCAAGGCGGGTGCCAAGCATTGTTGAGCTTGATTGCCATGTTTGTAGATAATAAAAATTTAGACGTTAGGCAAAAGCTGACTGAAGAAAACATATCAATGATTAGTGGAAAATTTATAGGAGAAAATCGGCATATTAATGACAAAAGAATTGATACTGTAGATTCTGATAATATTGGACACATTTGTCACCAGTTTAAAATCCTTTGCTCCAATTATGTCTTCATCTTTGTGACTTTATGATTATGATCGGTCTATTTTGTGGTTACAGGAATACAATTTTGGACAACCGCCTATTTCCTTTTAATTCTGAATGAGAATCCTGAGGCAACGATGATTAATTTCTCTGTTGTTTGAATAACAGCCCCAGTAGCTGGTGTCATAGTCGGAAGTCATTTCTCAGATTATATTGGAGGCTACAAGGGAGAAAACTTGCTGAAATCAATAAAGCTTTGAGCGCTGTTTGGATTCTTTGCATTTTTATTTGCTTTTCCTATTGGATTTATGGATACTCTTTGGACTCTCATTCCTCTTCTCTGGCTGCTACTCTTCACTGGAGCCATGCTGACCCCTACATGAACAGGGATTATTGTGAGCAGTGTGCCTAGAAAGTATCAAACAGCTAGTTCTAGTATGAGCCAGCTTATCAATAATTTAGGTGGATATTTCTTAGCCCCTGTCTTGAGTGCTTATGTCATGGACTGATTCGATGATGAAAAAGAAGGCTTCATCTGGGGCTACAGAGTTGTCCTTTGGTGGAGCATCTTTGGGTTAGTTTTTATTGCATGAGCCTGGATCTACGTCTCAAACTCAGAAAGAGGCTCAGACGATGATGACGATAAGGATCCATCTGAAATTAAAAGAGTTGAACTTGAGATATTGAGAAGACAAGCCCAAAGTTATTCGATATAATCCTATAATTAATATCCAATGAAGTTTGGTTAGACAGGGGTTTTGGGGTTTTGGGGTTTTGGGGTTTTGGGG